GACCACGGCTTCAAAGCCCGGAAAACATTCCTAAATGTTATGTTTGGGATCAGCTCAAACGACGTATTCGACGACGAGGTCCTCCTCCTGAGAACTTGGCTGAACTGGCAAACACGGTTCTTCAAGAATAACACAACATACCCCAAGAATTCGTTTTTTATGGCATTCCAAGACACGCTATTGAATCGGTTAGAGACGGAAACTTTATGTATTTTTCATCAATTTTTACCAAAAATCTGTTGCTAGTGATTGATGTTTTTTCTTTTGAAAACATTCTCATATTAATTTAAAAAACAATAATTAGAATTTTGATAAAAGAATGTAGGGTCTATAGTATTTTTTCTTTGAACTTTATAGATGGTGCGCTAATTTTGCACATCAGTGTATAATTAAAGGGAAACTAAACCTGTGAGAAAGTAATCCTGAAAACGCTACATTTCATTTCAGATTCCTCCTAATCCTGCTATAAGGCTAATGGGAAATGCTGCCCAAGACTACAATGAGTACGCTGACTTTACCTTCGATAACCGGTACTTCGACTATTCAGCATTAGGCGCAACCAACTGTTATGTGGATTTCGAACAGCCATCGGCCTCATCCATGGCACCCGGATGCGAGAACGAACCGAACTCCGTTCTTCTAGTGGATGAGTTTGAAAAGCATTTCAATGTAGAGCACGCGGTAGCCGAAGTGTTCGGTCGCAGTCCGATGAGCGAGTTAAAGAACTTTATTGTCGCGGAAATAGACAAACTGGACAAACTAAGTGTTCGCCATGTCAGTGTGTACAAAAACATGCTCCTTAACATCGAACAGTTAAAAAGTGGTGTGCAAAGTGATTCGGTGCGACATCAGATCTATTCGCTGTACAAGAGCTTGAACATGTTCCTGTTTGGCGTGCACAAGCTCAGCAATGGCGTTCGGAATTTGAACTTTTTACAGAATTTTGTGTACAATACAGGTCGCGGGCTGCAAGACAAGAAACGGGCAGACCTGGTCAAGGCCTACGGGTATATTTACGGTGGTGAACATGCGAACTTTAATTACAGAAAGGGTTTGAATAGTCTAGTATTCGGACAGGGCGCTGATAAGAGGAAACATTTTTCTTGAAGAGACGCATGTTATGACCTCCGTGGTGAAGAATGTTTATTTCATTGAATGAAATGACTCGCTTTTGCACGCTTAAGCAATGCTACCATAAGGATGCATGCAAGTTGGGTAGGAAATCACAAAAATGTGTTTATTTTGTGGGTGGTAATTAATGTAAGTAAAGCGATATTTAGTTTGGCATTAAACAATTTCTTTCTCAAAACTTGGTTCTTGTTTCCTGTGTTTCAACATTTTTTCTTAAACAACTAGGAATTTGCGCCTGCTTCATTTTTCTCGTGGCTTTTCCTCCTTTTGCTCTTTCTGTTAAACTGACTGTCTATAGGGTTTAGGTCTAATTTTGGATGGACCCCGGGACAGACCGCCTTTTCATATGTACTGGTCGTACCCGACTTAGTCTCGTGATGCTTCAGGTGAGCATCCAAATTCTTCTGGCACACAAATTTTTTCGTGCACATTGAACACTCAAAGCTTTTGATGCCTTTATGGTTGTTCATATGGGCCTCGTGGTACTCCCGGCGCATGAAACCCTTCTGGCAGATTGTGCAGATAAAAGGCAATATCTTTGCATGACTCTTACGATGGAAGTTCAAGTTGGTGAGCGTTTTGTAGGCCTTGTTGCATTGGTCGCAGGAGAATTTCTTCTCTACACTGTGACTGGTCATGTGACTCTTGTAGTCTGACATTTTCACGAAGCCCATATTACAGATCGAACAAATGGACACGAATTTCTTGTCGTGCTTCAACTTTATGTGGTTCCTCAGCTTGGTGGCTGATGCAAACTTTTTGCCGCAATCCGTGCTGTTGCATCGGAACGGAAGCACTCCCAGGCAGAAGTTTTCGTGCTCTTTAATCTGGAACTTGGTTCTGCAGATCTTAGGGCAATTTGAACAGTGAAAGCCTGCTAGTGCGTTCTTCGGGCGGCTGTGGAGCTTAAGATGGTGCTTTAGATGTTTAGCAGTCGCCAACTGTCTACCACACAACTGGCACAGATACCCTGCCAATTTGTGGCGCTTTGTGTGCCTGTCTAACATGCTTCTAACAGATAGTACTTTGCTGCATTTCTTGCACTTGAACTGTGACTTCTTTGATATTCGGACTCCAGTCGGTTGTTGAGTGCCAGACTTCTTCAATAAACTTTCCACCAAGCTGTCCAGTTTGAACTGTAAATGATCAATGCTGTTCACCAGGCCCAAACAGTCATTGCACAAGTGGCCACTGTCTTTGCTCGCAGTTCTACGAATAAGCTTGATAATCTTGTCTTTCACCGGAATCTGGCTTGATATGGTCAATGGGCTTTGAGCGGTCAAAACGTAGAACTGTAGACCGACGGTTCGGACCTTCATTCTGCACACAAAACAATGACTAGGGATTTGTTCTTGGTACTCCCTGTCCGTTGAACTGGAATCCTCTACTACAATATCGCTTTCTTCATTTGAACCTTCGCTGGGAGGGCCTGAAATCAAATTGGCACTACATAAGCAACAATCAGAACGGCCATCTACTCACAGTCTAAGTCAAATGCATGATTTGCAGGTGTTTGCTTTGCAAAGACGCTTGGTTCGTAATAGTTACAAGCCTCCAAACTAGCATCAGAATAGGTGTTATAGTAAGCCGTGCATTTTCCATACAGATTTTGATTTGACTCTTGGTTCACACCACCACTGTAATAGGCGCAGCTTTTATAAACCTCGTTGGGAGATGTAGAGATATCGGGAATGTTTTTCTGGATACTACAATACCCGGTAGTAGCAGTTGCTTCGCAGTACTTTCCGACTTGGGCACATGAAGAATAGTTGTTAGGTTTCAATCCAAATGGGTACGTGTTAGGGTTGGTGCCCCAGGAGTACTGACTGTCCAGGGGGGGGTCATAATAGCTGAGCGGACTCAAGTCTTTGCAATTGATTTCAGCTAAGTCCGGTTTGTCGGGCAGCTTTAAGCTGTCCCAAGACGGCATTTCGGCATACATGTACTGTGGCTCTATGGGTGCCCCTGGGTTTTGGTGGGGTAGCAACGGGGAGTACAGGTCACTGAATGTGCTACTGGGCGAAAATGTGCCCTGCAGCACCGAGGGGTATTGCATGGCAAAATGCTGACTGAATGCATTTTCTGGGCACTGAAATCGCTTGTCACTCATCGAAAAAAGCTTCAAACCGAGTAGTTTTGAAACAACGTTAAAGTTTGTTTTGACAACAAACAATAACCGCAACGTATTGTTAAGGTTATGACCATACTTGCCTTCATCTATGGTCATCTATGACTAGCAATGGGAACTATCGAATTATTCGATAGTTGTAATTCACTCGAATTATTTACAAGCGTCTATACGACAAGGTATACAGAGGTGTTCTGTGCGTATACGTAGACGCTTGTAATTATTCGATAACAATGTTATCGAATTATTGGAAACTAACGATAGTTGTAATTCATTTGAATTATTCGAAAGCAGTGTTTTGTATGTGTGACAGTTTTAATTTCAGATCTAGATTTCAGCAGGTCAAAATCACTAAAGTTCCTAAAATTTCCGTTTAGAAATAATTTGCAAAAAACCCTGCTACTGGGCCCCTCTTCAAGAACGCGTAGCTCCGTTAGGAAGCATTTTTCGATACATGTTCTTACATACATACATACATTATTTTTTAGAGCAGATTTCACTGTTTCAGTTTGGCCACGAATTTTGGGACACTCTGTATAGGTTGGAGCGCTTACGCATTTTTGATCTGGATTAAAAAGGCGATGGTTTAAAACTGTGGAATGTCGCATCACACATTTAGTTCTGTGATCGCATGTAAGTGCGTGTCGCCCCTCATTTCCATCATAACTGCCGACAATATTTATCTATGGTAAACGCGTAATCGGCCCAAAACAACCCAAAAAAGGGGGATGTTCTGTGGTAATGTGATGGTTGCACCGGGAATCGATCCCAGTGACCCATTACGTCATATTATGGCAATCGCAAACCGGATATAAGCCGAAGGATGAATTGATTCCGCTAATGTACGCTTCGTGCTACAAATAGAACGAATAAAGCGGTAGAAAAAGTTTTTTCCCGAAGCTATAATTGCTGCTTTGAACAGATATTTCATATACACACCTTGATATGGACTTCAATTTAAATGTGGCAATTTTTTACGAGCTTTATTCAAAAATTCTTTTTACTAAATCACTTAATATCAAAGTGCACTTTAAGTTAAAGCAAAGCTTTAAAATATGGAAGCAAAAACAGCTCTTGATCGGTCAGCACTGCCGAATTTGAAATATCCATGAAATTCCAGTACAATTTCAGTACAATTCAATGCAACTAAACAGCGCGTCTGGCAATCTTGCTCGCATTTCCAGGTTGTCCAGAAAAGGCAAAGGCGGCCGTTCAAACACGTTCATTTTTTTTCGAAATTACGCTTCTTGTTTTCTTGCATGCCGACCAATCATCTGCCACTGCGGCGATGTGTATTCAATATGTGCTCACAAAAGGCCCCCTAAGCTGGTTATTAGTGGTTTTTGTGATTAACTGTAAGTATATAATACATGATATGGAGCTTTTAATTGGATTAGAGAAAACTTACTGTATAAAAAGTCGCCTTCGGCAGGTATTGCAGTGCTTTGAACGCTCACTTAGATGAGTGAGCCCCGTGCTCAATTAGAGAGCAATCATTGATTTTCCCATTCGTTCCCATGTATTTGGTTCAAATTTGTGGTCGATACTTTAGCAAAAATCGAATCTGCTGCTAGTCAATGTATGAGGTCGGCTCATGAACGATGTTATCATCAGCTGAACAATTAAATTTGAATGTGCGAACAATTAAAAGCTATTGGGGTGTTTTCTCAGGTTCGGGGCAAGAAGACCGCATCGTCTACACGTCGGAGGACTACTGGAAAAACGAGACGCCGCTGCAATGTTACGACTGCAATTCGGCCTACGACCCGAGGTGTGGCGACCCCTTCAATCCGTACTCGATCGGTATTGTAAATTGTTCGGAACAGAAGCCCCCGGAGCACCTGATCAACCCCGAGCTTCACCCTAATCAGCGACTGAAGCCTACAGTGTGCCGCAAATTGGTCCAGAAAGGTAACGTAGTGTTGGGTGATCGCATTTCAGAGCCTCATCAGCTTCATATATGGAATTGTTTGCAGTCGAGGGTAAAAAGCGCGTGATCCGCGAATGCGGCTACATCATGGACGATCGGGACGATAAATCCTGCCCTCGTAGAACCGGCACCAAAGAGGTAGAGGTGTTCTACTGTTCCTGCACTAAGCCTTTGTGCAACCAAGGTGCTATCATCCGTCCAGCCAGTCTCGCAGCGGCATTTGTTTGTGCTCTTGTAGGACTAAGGTTCTGAATCTCTGTACCAACAGTCATTTGTTTAGTTTTCAATGCGTCTTTTGATTATCATTTTATGAATCTATATATACTTACGCCGCCGTCCCATTGTGAGCAAGAAAGTTATGACTACATTTCATCACCACTACCTACTTTCTGCCTTAAGTACACGTATTTCCGTTATCATTGCCATTTATTCTTCCAACTCTAAACTGAAAGTCTAACGATCATTATATTATTCTACAAAGGAATGATAATCAAAAAAATAGTTTTACAAACTCTGTTAACTCATATAGTAGCCAGGGTGAGGATTAGTTTTTACTCTTCCTATTTGAATTCCAGATCAAAACTAGTTTTAGTGAAACAATGTTCCTGAAGGGATGTTTGCAATCATATCATTTTTAGATTAAGGCCTGCACATGGCCATAAGTAATTTTAGCTGTTAATTGGTCTCGTTCTATTTACAATCGATAACATTTGACCTTTGTTTTCGGTTCTGCTATTGTGGGACACTCCCGATCACATTTATCTTTAGTGTTGTACTAGAAAGAGTAATTTATTCGTTGGTTGTTGCAGACTTTACACATTATTGACTGTTGTTAACTCGTAGTTTAATCATTAGAGGAATAGTTCAGCTTGACAAGTGCCTGTGATAGTGCAAAATGAACACTATTATTAATATTAATTGTATTATTTTTTGCTATACTGAGGGCAAACGTTACTTCAAATTAAGGCTTCGGAGCTGCGGAATTCAATGTCCAACGGACAATTACAAAAGCTTAGTCAGTTCACTGAAAATCCACAAAGAAACGCAGTGATTTTAAAATGTTTGGATTGTCTAGTTGCCCGCATTCCAAGTAAACTAATAAGGTAGAAACACTGCCACGTTTATTCAAATCCCGTACGGACTAAAAATGAATACAATATAATTGGTTCTATCCGAAAAAAATATATAAAATGAGTAGACTTAGCGAATCTGTTTAGCTTTTCCCGGCTGTGAAACCAAATCCATATTGGAAATTGACCCCCATTTGAGTCAAATACTTGTTGTACCGAGGTAAAAGTCGATTGCGCTCGAGAACAACTTCGGTTGACTTACGGTACTTTATGACATCCTGCAAAGAGATGATTATTGAAACATGGCTCTACTTGTAGGACCTCTGTACATACCCTTCAATAAGAGTGGCACGCATTTCTGTAGTTATCCTGTTGGGTTCAGTATCGTTCAGCTTGAAGACAGACTCTATCACGGCCAATTCGGTTGATGTGGTATCCAAGCCGGTAAATGCAAACCAGTCGTTCACGACCAGGCCGGCGCCCAAGACCGAACTACCACAATTAACTGTTCCTGCCTAAAATATGCCTTAGACAAATCCTACCCAAACTGCAACGATCAGACACTTACGACCACGGGAACCTGCAGCATCGAAGATAACTCTTCTTGGTTCGTTATGCTAGTGTTCGGGTGCACAAGAGCCCCGCGATTGTTCATCACACAGTAAGACCCTATGAGCACATTGCCTGCAATGGTACTTCGGAACACTTCCACTCCTAGTGTGTCAGCAATTATTTCTTCAGTTTCCTGAAAAATGCGAAGCATTTTAATTAATAATCAGTGCCAGGTCTTTGCATGGCATGGATGAACGTACTTTGTCCAAATCGGGATGTGCAATGGCGACATAATCATTACAGGCCACAACATTTCCTAGGGCCGAGAGCCGCTCTTCCACTCTCTGCACCTTCACCGAGTCCGGCAGAGCGTTTCGGAGCTGCTGCAATTCCTGATCGAATGTCGAGTTGGGCACCAACAGCCCCCTTTTGTTGCCCACACACATGCGGCCCACGATTCTGCACCCAGATATAGAGGCATGGACCACGGGAATTGTGTCTGCGAGTTGGGACTCGAACGTGCTGAAAACAGGTGCTTTTGAATTTCACCATGTTGCAGGACATGCCTTCAACGTACCTGTAAAACACCTCGGAGCCTCCTATGCTAGCCAAACAATAGGCATTGGTTAATTTGGCAAAAACGCCGATTTCATTTTTGCTTTCAAACTGGATGCGAGCCGTCATATTTGTATTTTCACCAAAAATTTAATTAAATAAACATAAAAACTATGATGCACGTGTCTAACCTAACAACCACTACCAACACAGATCTCTTATCTTTCTCTATGTGACTGCCTGTGGTGACTGCCTCAGTGAGTAAATAGTGAATGAGGGCAGAGACTAGGGATGACACGAAATACTTGTCACATGTATTTTGGAACAGATATCGATACGGAACAGTCGGTACCTGTGACCGATATTTAAAATAACATGTGATTTGAAATAACAAGGCTGGCCTACGATGCTGGTCAGGACCAGTACAACATGGTATTTCGATATTTCAACAAAGCAAAAAGGCAAATACCTGCCTTTGTGCCTTTTGATTCCCCGCGGCGTTGTCAGTTGGCCTGAGTTTTAGTGAAAGGAGATATTTTATTCTCGTGAAGTGGTAAGGTTTTGTATGTATGGGAGAGGGACGTGCACCCATGATTCGGCAAATAGCAATAATTCAATGAACAGAAAATGTCGGAAACAGCAGTAACAGCCGTCTCCGATATTTTCGTTAATGTGACCAGGCCTGTGAGTCACAGGCTGTGACTGACTGACTGACTGTTTTTTCGGAATTCTCAGCTGTTGAATTTTCAATTTTCAATTAAGCGATAAGATGAATTGTAATCAGTGATTAGGATGAAAATAGAAGATTTTTCACATTTTACTGCCCTTAAGTGGGAAAGATAAAAAATGTGGTCACCTTTTTTGTGTTCAAATAAAGTATCGATAAAATGGTAAAACGTTACTCATAAAAAATGTTATGCCTTTTTTTTGACTATCAGCCCTTGCATACATAAAGGAACAAAAGGCATTCGGTCTTCGGTCATAATTTATTGCTGACCCAGCAGATTCGCACCCAAATTACTAGGAAGTGGCGTGGATATCCTTCAATGGAACAATTAGTGCAGTCGGATTAGATTATATTTTTTCCGGGCACTAAATAGATGAAAGTAAAATTTTTTATATTGAATTTGGTTTTGGCACTATAACTTTTTTTGAAGGTGTCTGTATACTTTATAAGTGGTATAAATTTTAGTTCCAAAAATTCATAACTTTCTGTTCGTTCCTATTTGTCATGTAAAAAGGACTCTTGCCAGATTCTAAATACATTTTTCTTGAGACGTCGGAGAGACTTCTCTGAGGCTGTATTTTACTGGTAAAGAGTTATACTACAACGTACAGTAAATGAAAATTTCATTACTGACTGACCAAAAAAAGTTATGGTACCATTTTCTTGAGACAAAACTAAATTAATTATTGAAAATTAACAAAACGCTGAAATGGACGGTTTTTTTTTCGATTTTTGAGTAAGCTAATGAACGGATTTTAATGTAGTTTATCTGATATCATAGGTATTTTTAATACTTGAAAAAAAAGATAAAACTTTTTTTCAATAGCATAAATGGTTCAACAATTATGCACAAAAAACGGGCTTTCGCACTTTCTTTAATTATTTATAAACAATGTTCCACAGCTGGACACAAATTTGCCTCAATATTCTCACATCCTTCCGAACAACTTCCAATAATCTTTTACCAGCATATTTTCAGTGCCCGAAACAGGCCTTTTAAAGTGTAATCCAACTGGACTCAAAATACGCTTCAGCCCGGTTTCAGGTACAAACCAATATTTATCATGCGCCAAAATAACATGTGCCTAAAAATCACAGATACTTGGAACAGGTACGAGCTTGGAACAGTCACACATGGAACCTGTGCTGAAAAATACTGGTTTGCGTCATCCCTAAAGACAAGTGAATGATGACACACATGATGCGCCGACCGCCAGTGAACCATACTAGAGAATTTTCCCCTAGTTCTAAGGATTTTTCTCAGGTAAAAGGAAAAAGGGATTTGGTAGAGTAAAGAATTTTAATTTTTTCTGTTTTTCTGCAAACAAAAATAATTCTGGGAGGAAAATATTGAAATATCGGACTAGATAAGGCTCACAAATAGAGAGAAGCCACAATGTGTTAACGCGATTTCAGTCGCAGCCAGTAGCGTACATCTCACTGAATCCTTTGAATCTCCTTTAAAGACTTTCTAATTTCCCGGAAATAATCTTTACTGGGGTGCAAAAATCTACATATAAATATAAACTTTGTCAAATGCCTATTTAATGTAAAGGTTGGATCTAAAAGAATAAATAAGAAGAATAAAAATTGAAGAAAAATTATGAAATCCATTTTTTTACATTTTTTTAAATTCGTAATATACTGTTTCCAATAACGTTTTTCGTTTCAGATATCACTTTTTATCTTTGAATATAAAACTTTTTATATTCAAAGCTTTTTATTAAATATTAAGAATCTAGGGATTTTAATTTCACCGATCTGGCATCACTGCTGACGACCACGGATGAACAGAGAATCACATATCCACAGATCACACAGGTTATATGATCTGTGCACATTGCAGAATGCATATTCGCGAATTCAACTACCGATGGTGGGTTCAGAGGTCTTCTGTGTGGTGGCGCTGCAAAGCGTCAATTTACTCGTTGTCTAGTGACAGCTGAAATTTGTCTATTTGTTGGAGTTGATGAGATTTATGACATAAAACAATACTTACACACTTTTTTCTATTTATTTAAATGGGAAACTTTTTCATTATTAATTTAACGAAAAAGAGTTATTCTTGATAAACATAATACAAGTAGTAAATAACAAAAATAGAAATATATCGCAGTTAATGTCTAACATTGTTAAGGGGGCAAGAAAATAGTAATAATTTTTTTGCGCAAAAACTATGAATGCTACAAGATTTTACAAAGAGCACAACATTGTGAATAAATGTGTAACAACCAAAAAAAATTGAGTTGATTCCATCCCCCACATAAAAAGTTCTAGTAGCTTTTGTACCACGACACTCTAGAATTCACCACTTGTCCAAAACGGCTGAACTCGATTGTTTCATCAAAATATGAGTCTTACATCAGAAAAAATTTACAGCGAGTTTCACCAAAATACCATTGTCCCGATATTTCAAAAAATATTATTTTTTTGAAGAACTTTGACCATCAGTTGCCGAGGAGCGAGACTTTTTTGTTAATAAACGTTAGGTCAGATCGTCTTCTTTTGATGTAAAGAATATCGCAGTGTCCTTTTGATCACGTGATTACGGGACACCCTGTATGACGGATACAGAAAAAACTAATTTTCTACCCACCTACATAATCAACAATCTTTATAGGTAGGTAGGTACATAGCGGGCACTTTAGATTGACCGCTCGGTACCTGTCGATAGGAATTATGGAACGGCTATTATTTATTTGCTTTATACATGATTGCAAAACTATCCGTGTGCCCAAGTCGGTTCAGTTGACCGGTTCTGTATGGGTCATTCGGGAAAGGAAAAGAAACCCGAGCAATTATCTCTTCACATACACATACCTACCCATAATAATTGGGCCGTTTTTGATTGATTGATTTAAAATTCGCTCTGATGTGTTGTTTTGTCCGAAGTAGGTTGGGGTTGTTTTGGAAATCGTTCGTCGAAAACTATTGTTAATCTGCTAAGAAACTCGCACGCGTATTTAATTGCATTCCCTATTGTTGTTTACAACTATGCCGCAGTATTGTTCATGGCGACCTTGCAACGAAATGTGCTTAAAAGGCGAAATACCGATTATGTAGGTGTAAAGAAATCAAAAACACTGAGATAACATAGAATCCTAACAAACGAGAATAATGTTTGTTGTTAAATGTTGCATAATGGATACAAATAGAGAGCCGATAGGCATGGGGCGATGTCATAACAGTTATTCCTTTTTATCCGCAATAATTACTGCACAATCATATGAAAAAGTATTAATTACACGATAAAAATCAGCTCTTGTTCTGATACGTATCGACAGTGGGTATTGATCAATGGCAATCTAGATCGTCGCTTTGAAGTCCCCCGAACTCCAGTAATGGAGCTTTCGTTCGGCGGCATGCTATGCAATTATTTGAAAGGTTTTCTTCGTTAATTTTCGATTTCGCACACAATATATAATAAAAATTATTCTTGAAAGCCCGTACACAAATGGGTGTCAACGACTCTAGAAGTAGCGACCCTGAAACCAGTTGTAAACCACTGTGGTAACATTCTTTCAGCAAAGGCTACAATCTAAAATCCGATTGCGACATTTCCCATATGCTTCGCCGGACTAGACCGGTACGAATTCGTTCCAATGCATTGATCGCAAGATAGTGAACAGGGTGCAAATAGCTGAACGCTTGGAACGTGCCAAAAGTCCAGTTAAGGCCATGTGATGAAAAATAAGATCTGCCAAAAGGCATTTGCCCATTCTGATTCCCGATTGTATGAAACAGGTTGCATTCTGAGTGCCAACACACAAGCAACCGTCTATAAATAAGCAATCGGAATAAGCGTGTCTAATTAATGACGCTGTTGCGTTTATTAAGTTTTCAGGTCTGTTGGTTTCTAGGTATGAACCGATTTTAATGTCGCATTGTCGAAGCGTGCAAACGGGTCGATGGCTATTTTAACACTAACAATCCTTGACAGGTTAAGCATAGAAACTGTCAATGTCTTTGCCACGTTGTTGTAGGCCTGGGTAGCTCAGTGAATTTTTCGGAGTTGGCGCAGTGCAGCGCAAATGGTTTGGTGCGCCAACGGAAGGCACCGGCGCAGTAACTCAGCTCTGTTGCTGGAAAAATGTTGATGGCTTTTTTAGTTGTTTTTGGATTTATTTTTAGGGCCATTTATTAATAATCATTTTAAAATCTCTTAAAAATTTCTGAATTTTCCAGTTTTAGTCAAGTTACTGTTTCTTCTAATTGCTCAATTTTCTAAAGTTTCGCCTAAAAATGCTGACAATCTTAACGTATTTTCCGCGAAAAATTATGAAATAATTTTCGAATTCTTCGTTGCGTTGTCAAAAGTTTTGAAATCTCTTTCCAGCTTCGAATTGGTAGCAAAATCAAATAATTTCCTATCAAAAAACGAACACAATAAGCGAAAGTTTATAACAGATTATTTGGAAATCTCGTCACCTCCATACATCTGAAGGCTGTAGAGTTGGTTAAAAAAATATTGCTTTTTAGATTCGACTTAATTTTTTTTTGCTTTACTTTCTAGTCAAAAACGCTTTATTTTGTAGAGATTCGCATAAAAATACTGACGATCTGGAGGTCTCAAAATTGAGGCGAAAAATTACAAGATAAAAGTATAGCTCTTTGTAAAAATTTTACAAA